ACCAAACCTAGAGCCTTCTGTTTTTTTCATCTAGCTTGTATAAATCCCAAAAGTGTGAACCAGACTTTCTGTCTACTTTTTAGGCTTTCTTTTATAAGCTTTTTTTCATATTTCACCGAGAGTAGATCCTCTCTCTTGCTACTGTCTTTGGTAATAGTAACAATGGCTCCTATCTGCTGGTGAGAAAAGAGATTTGAAAACTACAGATGGGATATTATACTTATAGAAAATAATAAACAAACATGTGTGAGGAATGTTGTGTTCACCAATTTCAGGAATTTCCAAAAAACATATGCATTCATATTTCCAATAGTAGAAAATTATCATCTAAGAATGGCAAACACTCATGCGATAAAGCCACAGAAGTTGTCTTTAAAACGGAGGAAAGCTTTTGTTTATGAAATAATATGTCATTTAGAAAGGAAAAGTGTGGTACATCTGAGGTAAAAATAACCCATTTCCTTGCTCCATCGTGGCCAGAACGTGAATCATGGTCTCAAAAGAGCTCTTCAGGCAGTTTATTCACGTTCCCTCTGTCTCGTGTGCCCTTCCCCACTACAAACCCACAAAACTCATAACAAACCTCAGAGGTCCAGATCTTTCTGCCAACCTCAATACAGCTGAACCAGTCTCATGCTTCTTTAAGTAAAAGAGCCACTCAGCAGATGGCAAATCAAGGTGACCGGATACACAGCAATGAATGAATGTGGTGCAATTGTGATCCTGAATACTCTGTGAATCGTTTCCTCTTAGATGGGTCTATCTAAGCAGCAGCTGCTCCTAAGTTGCTTCAGTCGTGTCCGACTCTGTGAGACCCCATAGACGGCAGCCCACTAGGCTCCCCCGTCCCTGGGATTCTCCAGGCAAGAACACTGGAGTGGGTTGCCATTTCCTTCTCCAATGCATGAAAGTGAAAAGTGAGAGTGAAGTCGCTCAGTCGAGCCCGACTCTTAGCGACCCCATGGACTGCAGCCTACCAGGCTCCTCCGTCCATGGGATTTTCCACCCTGGAGTGGGGTGCCAGTACCTTCTCCGGAGTCTATCTATACCTCCCACTTAAAAATTAAATATGCAAGATGCAATTTTACCGAAAAGAATCAGCTTGATATCCAACTCCCAGAACACAAAACCAAAATGGTATAGGTCCTCAGTGTTTTTCCAAATAAAATTTATTTTTCTTTCCTTAAAATTTTTGTTTGGTAGAGTAGGGGAGAAGATATCAGTATAGTAGAATTGAACAGCAGAAAAGTCTACATTAAGTGCTAGTCTATGTTTAATGCTTCCCTGGTAGCTCAGAGGTAAAGAATCTGCCTGCCAATGCAGGAAACACGGGTTTGATGCCTGAGTCGGGAAGATCCTCTGGAGAAGGAAATGTCAACCCACTCCAGTATTCTTGCCTGGGAGATCCAATGGACAGAGGAGCCTGGTGCGCTATAGTCCACAGGGTCGCAAAGAGCCGGGCACAACTTGGCGACCGAAACAACAAGAAATGCTAGGTGAAAAGTAAAAGGATACAGTTTTTGATCCCAAAGGTAACAAGAACAGTTGTCTCAATCCCACAAAACTGACACCAGAACACTCATTCTCGCTATCCTCATGTTAAACTCAAGTTCATGCCACACTGGTTTGTTCTGCTTCTAATTCCAAAAGAAGTAGCAAGGATTAAAGTCTTGCTCCTCCAAGTTCAGCACTCAGACCAGAGGCAATAGCATCACAGAGGGGCTTTTAGGAATGCAGGCTCTCAGACCCAACCCCAGAAGTACCAAATCAGAATCTGCATTTTAATAAGATGCCCAGGTGATTTGTAGGCACGTGGAGGTTTGAGAAGCACTGTTGTGGAGGACTTGGAATGAGCAGGTGGACAGTTAATCCCTTCCTACTGAAGATGTTTACTTCTCTGCTGCAAATAAAGTCACCACCAATCCCAACAGTAAAACCTCTGCTGCGCTTAGAGGAAAAAAAAAAACACAACACTTTGAATCTGTTCTGCTAACTTACTAACAAGTGAATGAACTTCTCTGAGTAACATCTCTTTACTACTCCCTCCGCTCCCATTTTTCATGGCTATTATGAGAATTAGATGAGAAATTCGTCTCAGGATGTCCAGGAATGTGCCTAGCACAAGAAAGAAAACTGCTTCTCATTCAATAAAGAAATATAGGATCTGCAAACATTGCTTTACCATTCAAAGAATAACATCAATGTTCCCAAAGTTAGTGTATATGTTTCATACAGCTCCAACAAAACTCCCAACAGATATTTTTAATTGTACAAAACAATCTTAAAGTCCATATGGAAAAAGAAACCTTAACCAAGATAAGAAAGGCAGGTGCTTTAAGAGAACACAAGAACTATATATATATACATAATTCAAGAGAAAAATTCTACTGAAAACATACAAAAATCTGTTTATATAAAATGATTTGTTTATATAAAGTGATGCTCAAGCTTACTGCTAGTGGGGGAGGAAAAAAATAAAGTAACAGTGAAATAACATTTTAAACTTTTCAGATTGGTGGAAGTCAAAAGGTGTCGTAATACCAACAAGATGGCAGCAAATGGTTGTGTACCTATAACAGGGTATATTGGTGCTTTTATTTCTAGGAGATGGAGTCCCAGGACAGGACTACTAGATCAAAGGAATGTAGGAGTGGTAGCAATAGTACTAGTGGTAATCATAACAGCAACAGTTAACTATTACTACTACAATGACTATTACTAATACAAGGATTCCTTTGACCCAACTGGTAATCTACTTATTACAGGAGACTATTGCTGAGCATCACTATGTAGTCATAGTAACACCTGCTGGTACTACAGCTATTATTGCTTCTGTTACTACATCGATGGCTTTTATTAAGTAGCACCGTCCAAGCACTTTACGAACATCAACTCTAATCCTTCCAACAACTCTAAAATATAGGAACTACCATTTCCATTTCACCGACTAGGAAACTGAGACACTAAATGTGCCTGGCAAACATAGTAAGAACTACATAAATATCAGCTATTTAGTTGTCATCATTACATAGCCTCTCACATAGCAATCCCACTCCTGCAACTCTAGCCAAATGAGAAAAACAGCCTAATAAAAAATAGCAAAAATGTATAGATGAAAGTACCTGAATGGGTATATGTGGACAGGTATGAGAAAAGATATTTTCTCATGAAATAAAAGAAAAATACAGAGGGATGCACACTAGGCAGTTAACACATATTATTTTGGTGGCAGAGAGAAGATATTTGGAGAAGAGAAGGGCTAGAGAAAGGGCGAAGCAATTTCAATAAATCAGAACATGCACAGGGAAAGTGAGAGTGTTGAAGTACCAGATAACAACAAAGAAATAACATTTTACATTCTTTGGGGACACAAAGAGCTGTGGAGGAGTTTAAGGAATAGGTGTTTTAAGTTTCATTACTCAGAAGGGCAATATTTTTGTTAAATGATTTGAATCTCCCCAACACATACACATGATACAAATTATTGAGAAAATTTCCAAAAATATTATTCTTTGTCAAATAAAAAACACCCTAGTAATTCCAAGGTTCAAACACAGTAATCATCCAAGTAAAGGCCCTGTCTAGGGGCAAGAAAGCCAAGTTCTGCTCCTGGCACTGTCACCAATGGGCTATTTGACCTTTGGCAAGTCACTAACCTACATTTAATTTTCTCATACCCAAAGTAAGGAAGTTCAACCAGATCATCTTTAAATTGCCTTTTAGTTATAAAAACGTGATGATTCTGTAATTAAAAACCATAAAGTAGAAAAGTGAAAAACTAGTAAACAGGAGTAACCATTATTACACATTTTAGAGACACCGTGTTAGAGAGATCTTAATACTTTATAGGTAAGCAGATAATTTAATGACACATTTAAATAGGTACATTTTTATAATTAAAAACTGCAATAAGACCAGTTAGGTATTTTACATTTCCAAGTGGCAAATATGCTTTAATTTTCATGTTGAGAAAAATATGTTGCCTGTTTTGATATCTTTCTGATTACTTGCAGAATTAATGCTTAATTTGTCACCTTAAAATGGAACCATCCATAAGTTCAACCAAAATTGTCATCCTCTAGAGACCATATGTTGTAACTGAATGCAAAATAGCTGCTCAAGGCCAGCAGGTCAGTCAAATAAAGACATTACTCATTAAAAATTCTAACAGAACATTCCGAATATAAATTATTAATAGAATAAAAATTTGGCAAAAAAAAAGTATCTGCTTAAGCCTGACAGCTTCTGAAAGCAACACTTTTAATTTTTATAGTTTCCTCATAAGTTTTGTAAATAATAATGTGATTATTAATAACACTTAATGAACATTTATGCCTGGCTGCAAAGCATAAAAAGTCACTAACTCACAAGGCATAAAGATTTCCATGAGCTTGTTAAATTTTATGTATTTTATTTCCTTAAATGGTTATGGGATTTTCCAAAAGCATACACAAAATTCCTTAAAACTTTGCCAACTTAGAAATAGTTACATGAAAACCACCTTTTCAGACTATAAGGAATCTCCTAGAAAACTCTAGGCAGTCTCTTAATAGGATATCTGGGTATGAATTCCTACAACAGAAAAAAATAGTAAGACTTCTTGCCCCAACCAAATTTTATAGGATGACGTAAGGAAACAATTTATGGCTTGCACGGTTATCTGAAATTCCTGAAAACAAGCAGTTCCCTAAGTAGTATGTCAAAATTTTCTTATCTACAAGCACAAGCACGTGCATTTATTTATATCCCTAGATTAACTTCAAGTCTAATTTTACTGCCACTAGTATCCAGGGGTGGATTTCTTTTTTCTAATTACAAATGGAACTTGAGCTAGATCAAAGGCATTTAAAGGTCGAAATACACTTCTGCGAAAAATACAGGGTGTGATCGCATGTAATTAATTAATGCTTAGCCATGCCCTTTGGCGCTTTATGTGGTGGCTGCAGGAAACCGAGTCCAGCCGTGCCCACCTGTTGGTGCAAGCGGGCTGCTTGACTTACCCAGAAGAGCAGATTGAGCGCGTAGAGCAGGCAGCGCAAGCACTTCACAGAATCTTCTCTGGCCATCGTGAGCCCCAAGAGAGAGAAGCCCCATCCTTTCAACACATCCTACCCCCACGGACAAAACAGCAGCGATCTGCAGAGGGCGGGGGAGAACAGGAGACTCCTGACCACCGCGCTTCCCAACCCCCGCCCATCTCTCCTCGGTCGGCCCTCAGCCCGGTCCAGGGTCTGTTCCGAAGCCTATTTCATTCTAGACATCGCTTCATCGCAAATCACTTGTTAAAGTTACAATAGTAACCTAAACTTCCCAAAGTTCCAAAGCGGCTTCAGATAACACCTGCTGGGAAGAGAAAAGATCTTCTCCCCAGATGAATGAATGCGCGCAGTAGATTTGCGTTCTCAGGAGACACGCGGCGGTGTCCTCTGCATTCTGATGAGACGCTCTTTAAAACCTCCCTCAATCCACGCCGCTCCTCCGGGACAGCTCTGCTCCGAGCGGTCCCGAAGGTTGGAAAGCACACCACCCCCCAGAGATGTCACAGATGCCGCCCGCCACACCGAAGGTGCGAGTGTCCCTCTCACTGGGACAGTTCCTGCGCCCCCCACCTCCGCAGCCCCTTCCGCATCCCGCAGCTCCGGTGTGAACACGGGCCACTGGAGGGGGCGCAGCGCTGAGCTGGGATTCCGCCCGGCGACTAGGGTTTCTCTGGGAGAATGTGAGAAATGATGTTTCGGCCCCGGAATGATGGATTAGCCGGGGGCGGGGGGCGGGGAGGGGCGCAGGGGAATTCGGGCCGGTGCAGCTGTGCAGACGCCGGCTTAGTCATTCATGTCCCCCCCCTTGCCCCGGAGCCAGCCTCTAAGAAGTTTAGCACACAGAACCGGCGGGCTGGCGGGACAGCGGGCAGGAAGGACGAGAGACGCGCGGCCACTCACCGTCCGCGCTGGGCTCCGCGCCCCGATCCCGCCGGGGCACAGTCAGGGAAGCGCGGCGAGGGCTCATCGGGGCAGGGGCGCTCCTCCCGGACAGCCGCAGGGCTGCATTGGCTCAAACTGGAGACGCTTCCTTCTCTTCCTCTCCTCCCGCCCCCCCGCCGCCGTCGCCGCCTCCTGGGAAAAAGGAAAAAAAGAAAAAGTCCTGGGCAGCAGTTGCTGGAAAGTCTCTGCTAAGCCACCTCCCAGCGCCGCTGTCCCTCCCAAGTCCACGCCAAGTCCGGACGAGGCAGCGGCGGCGGCCAGGGCCAGCTGCACGCACTCTCGGCGCATGCTCGGGCCGCCGGCCGCCCGGCCGCGAGCCTGGTGGCTGCTTCTTGGCCCCGAGCGAGTCGCGAGCCCCCCGAAGGGACGCCTCACCTTTCCGCGGGCCGGAGAAGGCTAAAGCCTAGGCGCTTTGGAAACGTCCGCGCAGCAAACCCCTTTAAAATGGTGGTGTCGGAGGAGGGGAGGCTGGGTTATAGCCATAGGGAAACAGGCTTTTATTATATGAAAATATTTGTGTTTGAGAAGGGGGGTGAAGGAGTGGCCCAGCTTAGTTCCTGCAATGAGAAACTAGTTTTCACAACCTTTCGAGAGCCACCTCCTGTGATTTGTCACTGAGGTGGTGCCCTCTGCTCCTTCTTATTGCTTTGTTGCCCTCCCTGAGTTAAAAAAAAAAAACAAAAAACAAAAAAAAACCCAGTTCTTTCCCACTTGCATAATGCACTTAGGGCATTTACTTACACCCCAGGGTAGACATGTGGAGGTCTGACCCCGAGAATAGGAAGAATGCCTGTAACTCTTTCACAAGTAGTCCAAATTTTCCAAAGGTTTCTCGCAATAGGATTGAGTTTTAACTGGGTGGTTTACCTTGAATTGTGTACCATAGTGATGGGTTTTGAATTTTTTTTTTAACTAGAAATTTAGGAAATCTTACTAGAGGAAACTGTACTTCCAAATGTGCCTTCTCCTTTGAAAGTTAAGAAATTTTCCGGGTAAAATGCCATCTAATTGTGATGTTTTATGCCTCGTGGTAGTTCGCATTTCTGATGACTTCTGTGCACGTTGTGTGGCAAATGAAGTTTCACTAACAAATATGAATTACCTAAAAATATAAACAGTATCTTTGAGGAAACCTAATAATAGGAGTCCTCCTTAAATTTTCTCCAGATTAGACAGGGAGTAAATCGAGTCTTACTTCCATCTTTGCCTGTCCAGCATCAATTGCTACATGACCAGGGTAATGAAGAGGCACACAGTCATTTGGATAGAAGTAAAATTTAGACCTAAGGAGAGTTTGCGTGTCCTGGCTTATGGGAGGAAAAGTCTTGGCAAGCAGGTGGCTAAGCTGTGTGTAAGGAAGCAAGCTCCAAAGAGCACAAAGATAGCCATACATGCCAAACACCAAGAAAATGTCCAGTCACCCATCAGATGAGGCTAAGTCTGGCAACAAAGTATCTTCTAGAATCACAGAGGGGAGCAAAGCAACCCTCTTTGATCCTCAGTTACTGCTCAAATTGGGGTGTATACAAGTCCCAAGCAGAGGGCTTGGAACCACCCACTATCTGAATGCTGTTGATGCCACACATTCCTCTGAGTGACAGAAATATCCCCCTCATGAGGGGACTCTCTGACTGCCATTAAAAATGATAGCAAGACTGCCAATCATTCCCAGGTCCCTGAACAGAGATATTCTTCTCTTTCTAGAAAGCAGGAAAGTATCCTTTAAATTTAGCAATCTGGGCTTCCCTGGTGGTCCAGTGGTTAAGAATCTGCCTGCCAATGCAGGGGACAGAGGTTCGATCCCTGGGTTTGGAACTAAGACCCCACGTGCCCCAGAGCAACTAAGCCTAAGTGCTACAATTACTGAGGCTGCTGTCTGGAGCCCACAAACCACAGCTAGAGAGTAGCCCCCCTTTTCCTCAACTAGAGAAAGGTGGCTCAGACGGTCAAAGCGTCTCCCTACAATGCAGGGACCTGGCTTCAATCCAATCCCTGGGTTGGGAAGATCCCCTGGAGAAGGAGATGGCAACCCACTCCAGTAGTCTTGCCTGGAAAATCCCATGGAAAGAGGAGCCTGGTAGGCTTCAGTCCATGGGGTCGCAAAGCGTCGGACACGACTGAGCAACTTCACTCTCTACGTGCAGAAACAAAGACCCACCACAGCCAAAAAATAAAATAAATAATATCTTTTTAAAAAATTCTTAAACCTATAAGGGCTCAAGAATGATAAAATTCTAGGAGAAGATGATTTGGAAGTACATATCCCACCCTCACCCCCACCTGCTTTTAGTAAATGTGGAATATAGAACCACGAGAAACTTTAAAAGTTACACCTCTAGTGAAATCAGATTCCAAGCTAAAATCCAGGAAAATACTCTCTAAGTAGCTCAGTGATTCTCAAAATCACTATGTATTAGAACCACTGAGGTAGTTTTGGACAAACCAAAATACTCAGACTGTAACCCACACCAATTAATTTGGAATCTCTGCAGATGTGGCCTGGTCATCCTGATTTTTCAAAGTTTGCAAGGTAATTCTAATCTGTAGCAAAGTTTGAAAACCCCTGAAGCTAACACTCTACAGATGCCTAAAAACTAGCAAAGGAGTTTCTTCCAAGTTCAGCTGGATCAAATCCCTCACCATGAATTGATACCTGGGATTATTTCTATAAATTAAGAAGAAGGGAGAGCTGCAATTCCTGTTCTAATATTCCTGAAGAATAGTTTCCACAAGTATGTGGATCAGCATCTCAGCAGAGGAGCCTTCACCACATCTGAGGCATTGCAGAACTGGTTAGTTTCAGTAGCTTAAGTCTGACCATATCTGCCTATAATTGGCACCCCTCAACTCTCATTCTGCCTTTTGGAATCCAGAGCAGAAGCAATCCTTCTCCCATCTGACCGCCCTTCGACTCCTGGAGGGCAGCTGCTAGTCCCTCCCACTCCGAGGATTCTCTTCTCTGGGATCATAGAAGCACAGTAAGACTTGACATCACAGCTGTCATCATGTCAGCTCTACATTTTTCACTGTGAGAATAGCTACAAGGGTAGAATAGAAAAATCCCCAAAAGAGCATGATGGTTTGAACATAGAATAACACGTGAAGAAAGTGGTACGATCTGTTCCTTGCCCACCTGTGAAGTAGGAACCCAGTTCTATAGTTGTGTACTCCTCACTAAGTACCTGTGAGTGAAGGTACATATGGAACTTACTGTGCCATATGCTTAAGAGACTGAGGATAAGATGGGTCCCTGCACTTCCCCCTGGTAGCTCAGATGGTAAAGAACTCTCCTGTAATGCAGGAGATGCAAGTTTGATCCCCTAGAGAAGGAAAGGGCCACCCACTCCAGTATTCTTGCCTGGAGAACTCTATTGGACAGAGGAAGCTGGTGGGCCACAGTCTATGGGGTCACAAAGAGTCAGACACAAATGAGTGACTAACTGTTTCACTCTCTTTCCTTCGAGAAAAGGCAAAACTCTTCAGTTTAGAAAGCAATAGCAGTCCCTATTTACAAGCAATCATATGTGTGTTACTCCTAGTTCAGTTCAGTTCAGTTTAGTTGCTCAGTAGTGTCAACACTTTTGCGACGCCATGGACTGCAGCATGCCAGGCTTCCCTGTCCATCATCAACTACCAGAGCTTGCTTGAACTCATGTCCATAGAACTGGTGATGCCATCCAACCATCTCATCCTCCTGTCCTAGAATTTTCTTAACAGTGCAAGAATTTCTTTGGTATAATTGTTCTGCATTTGTGGGTCATCTGCTTGGCAGCTCTCTGGTGGGGCTAATGGTGACCTCCTCCAAGAGGGTTTTTGCCACATGCTCCATGGTCCTGGTGCACACACTGTTCTGTTTGAGCCCTCCAAGCGTCTCTGGCAGGTATGGGGTTTGATTCTAAATGTGATTTCGCCCCTCCTACCATATTGCTGGGACTTCTGTGCCCTTGGATGTGGATTTCCTTTATTTGGTGGGATCCAACATTCTCCTACTGATGGTTGTTCAGCAACGAGTTGCAATTTTGGAGTTCTCACAGGAGAAAATGAGCACATGTCCTTCTATTCTGCCATCTTGGTTACCTCTTGTGTTGCTTCTAGAACTGAAGCAAAACTCAGCTAGCTAAGCAATAAGGTAATACAAGTTCTTCACTCCACAAGGCAACTCATTTGTCCATATCTTATTATACTTCTTCTGCTCAGGTTGTGCAGAGGGAAGGAACTGCATAGGCATTTTGGTAGGGTGAGTGAGTTTCTATTGCTTCTTGGTATAAAACCCTCACAGTGTTCCTTGGATGGTTCTTCACAACTAATACAGGAAAGAGATCTAATATGTTTTGAGAAGTATTCTGTGTCTGACAGGCTCTCAGGTGTCTCAAAGGTAAAGAATCTGCCTGCCAGTGTGGGAGACACAAGAGATGCAAGTTTGATCCCTGTGTCAGAAAGATCCCCTGGAGCAGAAAATGGAAACCCACTCCAATATTCTTACCTGGAAAATTCCATGGACAGAGAAGCCTGATGGGCTACAGTCCATGGGGTCACAAAGAGTCGGACACAACTGAGCATGCACGTACACACATACACACACACACACATGCCTGACATAAGGGCTTCTCATAAACTATCTCATTAACGCCTCATAATGACACAGTTGGATACTGAGACTCTGAGAGCCGATTTCTCCAGGGCTATATAGGCAGTAAGAAAGGAAAGTGAGATTCTAAGATGGGTCTGATTCTTCCCAGTGTTACCCTGCATTACAATACTATTTCAAATCTGGGTGGAAATTCACTGATGATCCTCAAGAAGAAAAATATTCTAGACATTTTAGTAGTTCTTGAGCATATGAAGCTGTTTCAAATATGTATACTCAAACTATGACTGGAGAATCTACTTTCACTGTTTACTTCTGAAAGAGTATACTCAGTAGGACCTGAGTATACAGCCTTTCAGCACTGAATTAAGTAGACTTCACTCAACTACAAGCTTGACAAAAAAAATGCAGGATTTGCATTTCAGATCAACAATAAAAAAACTTTTGGCGTAAAGATGTCCCAAACATTACATGGGCCAAATGTAATATTGGACATACACATACTAAAAAATTATTCATTGCCTATCTGAAATTCAAATTTTTTTTTAATTCAAATTTAACTGTGCATCCTGAATCGTTATTTTCTAATTCTAGAAATCCTATGCAAACTAAAATATTCAATTCAAAGTACCACAACAATAAGGATATACATAAATATATTATTTCACATAAGTCCAAAAATAGCCATCCATCACGTTAGCAATGACATCAAGGAATCAACTGTCTTACCACCTAACTCTTCTGATATACACAGTGTGTGCGCTAATATCCTTGGGCTTCAACTTCTCATACTCACAAGATAACTGTGCAAATCCAGGTATTATGTACAAGTATCATTTTTACAGAGGGCGTAAACTATTCCCACCTATGGCTCTCCCTTATGATC